GTAGGACAATGACTCTTTATGATTAGATTAGATTAGTAAGTGGGGGAGGGAGAAGCCCTAACTGTCTTGGGGTAGCTGCCTTGCAGGGTTATGCCCAAGTGCCTTCAGGCCAAGTTGTAAATGCCCCATGGGATGAGCTTTCATGCATTTTATGTCCTCCCCTGCTAAAAAGCCTTTCCCAATATTCAGCGGGCCATTGCAATCTTTCTTGCGTGTCTCGTTTATCTGTGGCTGTACTTAAGTAACTCCAAAAGGAGGAAGACATACATTGTCAAAGTACCTGTACATGGTTTTTGCATGTGTACTCTCCTCCTTGATTCTGTTTGATAGCTATCCATGGATGAGTATCCCAGAAGTTAGCTTCTGGGGCCTGGCTCTCCTCTGTTTTCTTGGACAAATCTCTGCTGTGCCTGTCTGAGACCGTACCTCCCTAAACCAGCAGTGAGAATGATCTCTCTGACGTGCTGCTGCTGGGAGGAACGCTTCCCCCCCCCCGCACACTTTTTGGCTTCTCTAGGCATATCCTAGCCTGGATTTATTCTCTTTACGTAAGTGTCACCCAGTGCATATTGTGCTGAACTGGGTGTCACTGGAGGAGCGAAGACACTGGCCCCGGTTGTCTCGGACTTCAGGAAGCCGTAAGCCAACATCTCTCTCCTGCTGTGGATGATATTTCTATGCTTGCTGACTCTTTCCTGTCCTTCAGTAAGAAATTCTACTCTTCTGTGAGACATTACTAATGCTTCTCAGTATCAACTGAAATTGTATTTCTGTGAATGTGAATTTCTGGAATATACCACACCTCAGTTCAGTGGGTGACAGGAAGAGCGAGGCAGGGTGTAACTGTGCATGTGAAACTCTGACTGAACATCCATTCTTTGTGTCCACCTCCCGGTGTGGGCAGATAGCAGCTCAAAGCAGGCGTGTAAAACACATTCTTGCCCAAGAGAGTTTTGCTACGGTCTTTGTGGAGCCAAGGTTGGGGGCTTGAGGTAAGGTGCCATTTTACCACTTAATTAAAGCCGTGCCACCCTGTGGCACTGGCTGTAGCTTACGTAGAGCCTCCATGTAGTGCTTTCTTCTCTGAACTCCTACTGAGTGTTCCCAGTGAGCTAGTCCCAGGAGCATGTTGGTCCTTCTACCTGTCTCCAGTCTCCCACCAGACCATCCTGTGTCCTAATCTCTTTTCCATGCCAAGGGGGCTGTGGTAAGACTTCACGGTGTTACAAGCGATCAACTACTCTTGTTTTCCAACATGTCCCATAGTCTGGTCCTCTTATTATCTGCACTGAGAGCTAGTGAAGGTTAAAATGCTCTTGGAGGGGTCTGAGCATGCATTAACCATGAAAGCTGAAACATTTGAAGCTGGTCAGAACCTAATAGGAGATGGGGAGGATGATGACAAAAGCCACTCTATTAAACAAGTAGTTGGAGGTTCCTAGGAAAACTACTGCCACCGTAATAAATCTAATCCTTTGGGCCTGGGAGGAAATGCCAGCATAGCCAGGACCTCTGCTGTGGTCTTAGTACAGCTGTGCAAATGGAGGCAGACGCGTTCTTGTTGGGACCTGGCATGGGAAAACAAGCGTTGCCCCTTCCACAGATGAGAAGAGGCTTTTCCAGCTGCCCTGGCACTGGAAGGCTTGCCTCGTAGTCATGACTGACTGAGCCATGACTGTTTTTACTGGGATGAAGCAGGGACTGAATGTGAATAAACGCGGTCTGGGCTTGCTTGAAGGAAACAGAAACTATCAGGAAGGATTATGTAGTGGTGCTGGTGTCTGCCTGGCCTCGGCAAGCATGAGAAGACCTTTGTCCTGCTGCAGCTCTCTTGTTATCGTAAAGGTTTGAAATGCTGTCGCAGTGGAAATTTGAATGAGAAATTTCCCCTCGATCTTGTGTGTGGTAACTCCTCTTCCTGCAGGGATGAATCCTCCTCTGACAGCAAGATTTAAGTAATCTCAATAGGTAAAGTACTCTTCCAAAAAGTTGCTGCTGGGCCTCCTTAGAGGCCTTGGCATTTGGTCTATAGACTGTGCATTTTCCCAGACTTCCCTGAAGGATGAGGAAACAAGCAAGTTAAGGGGTATAAATGAAATGGGGAGAGTCATGCTTTGCACTCTGGCAGTGGAAACCAGCTGGGTTGTCTTCCCTGGGACCGTCAGTCTGAAAGCAGGAGCTTCTCACATGTGAAGAGGGCCAGACCTGGGCTGCTCTCCCCAAACCTGGTTGTGGTTTTCATGCTGAGCTGGACTGGGAGGGCACGGACGAGCTCGGTGTGACTCCAGTAAGCCGGGAGCTAAGCCGCTCTGAACATCTGCGAACAGAAAGGGCTCCAGGCACTTTCCCTCAGTTCCTCGTGTATGGTTGACTTTGGCCGGGCTCCTTGCAAGTTGCAAATATCTTTCAGAGAGCAAGATCCGTGGTAAGCTGGGAATAGCGAAGAGGTGTGCTAGGGTACCATGCAATGACCATATATCCTGGCCTGTTCCTTCACTGCAGGCTGAGTTGAAGAAATGAATTTGGTTTGGTTCTATGTTGTTGTCTGTCTTTGGTGAGAGTAATCCTGTGTATGGTCTTTCCTGAAAGCTACTGTGCCGCACTAAGCGAACTTGCATGTGTTTGAGGGCAGATGGTGGAGGTGGGGAATGATCTGCTGTATTCTTGGCTTGGCACACCTCACAGAGATGCATCTGTGTGAGGGTGCAGATGCTTGTATTTACCAGGAACCAGCTGCTTACTGCAAGGGACTTATCCTCAGTTCTCATAAACAGGCCCTTCTTGCTGTCCTGGAGATTGCAATGATGTCCATGGTGAAAGTTGCACAAACAGAAGGGAGGATAATGACCCTGCAGATTAAAGGGCAAAAAGAGGTTTCCTAGTACATGAAGCTTGTGCTGATTGCCCTGGTTCTAGATTCAACATCCCTGGAAAGGTAGGCTGCAAACACAGAGAGACTCTCTGCAAAAATGGTGGGGCCAGGAGGTGCGTTACCCAGCCCTGCAGCGTGGAGAAAAAAGCAGCACCTGTTTGAGGAACTAAGGTGTGGATTTGTTCATGGACATGCCCTTTGAGCGTATTTGAGAGGCAGTAAGCCCATCTAATAAAAACTACCGAAATCTGCCTTTAACTGGCTCTGCTTACCTGCCTTTGATGTGGTGCAAAGGGAAACAGGGCTGCACTATGTCCTCCTTGTCAGCTTGGAAATATAAAGACTAGCAGCATCCTAATGCCTGACAAACATGCGCAGAGCCCTGCCGTCCCTGCCCTTGCCCCAGTCCTGGTGTGCTGGCCTTAAGCTCTGTTTCTTCAGTAACCAAGTACACGTGGGAAGCCTGAACCTCAACAGAGCTCCAACTCCAGATGTGCACAGCTCCTTCTGCTGTTCTAGTTCAGGCCTGATCCTGTTTGTTTTGGAGCAGCTCCTGCCAAGGAGCTTCTTCAAGTCTTTTCCATCATCTAACTTTTTAGATTTAGAGCTCTAGCAGTGAGAGCAAGGGAGTGTAAAATCCCAAATATCCTGCTCTTCCAGCATCTGTGCCCCTTCCCTGTGCTGCTGAGGGACATTTGCAAGGGCATCTTCCTCTGGCTGAAAAAAACCCCAAAAACAAACCAAAAACCAAACCCTCATCTCGTTTGATGTTTTTCAGGTTCTCAGCTTGGTTGGCTTATGGCTCAGCTGGTGGTGGAGGTGCCTAGAGCACCACTCCTGTTCTTGCTGGGCACACTTTTCCTCTCAGCTCCTCGTATTTACATGATGTCTTGATCCCTTGCTTGGACCTTCTACTTGGAGAAGGCCACCAGCCTTTCTTGTATTCCCAGTCTTCGGGCCAGCTGTGTCTCCCTTCTCTGGCTGGACTGGGAGAACTGGGAGGTGATCTTCTGCCTCTGCTTGGCACTGGTGGAGGCCTCACCTGGAGTGCTGTGCCCGGTTTTGGGCTCCTCAGTGCAAGAGAAACATGGACATACTGGAGAGAAGGGCCACAAAGGGCTTGTGTTGGTGGAACTTGTGCTGAGTGCCGTGGTTCCAGATGGAATGTCCCATTACTGCAGTACCAAAGACTGAATCTGCTAATCCTGTATAATGTAAGCGGACAACTTGGTTAGGGACGTCATAATATGGGCTAATGCAAAAGAGCGTGCAGTTTTTGATGGCAGAGGTGTGAAAAAGCTTGTGTGTAGTTCCGTGAGGGTGTGAATGAAGGTTGTGCCAAAGCTGCCAACCTTGTTGTTTTTGGAAGGGAGCGGGGCTGCAGAAATGTGACCCTTTCTCCATGGTCTTGGCAAGATGGAGCGGTGCTGCTGGCGATGAAGCTGAGCTCAAGTCAGGCTATCTGTAGGTTCCCCTTTGCTGGTGTCCTACCATGCACGCTTTTGCACGTGCTCTCTACAGAGCATGGCAGTGCGAGGAGAGCAGTGGGAATGCTGGAAAGACAACTGTTCCCAGCTACCTTGTGGGAGAGTGTGGGGAAGCTGGAGCCAGGCTCCTCTTGGACGTGTGTGGGGTTAGGATGAGAGACAGTAGACAAATGGCCACGAGGGAAATTCTGAGTAGCTGTTAGGAAAAGACTTTGTTGCGAGTGTGGTCAGACCCTGGAGCAGAGCCCCAGGAAGGCTGCGAGATATACATCCTTGCAAATAATTCAAAGTTCAGCTGGACAAAGCCCTGAGCAGCTGGAGCTGGCCATGCTTGGAGCTGGACATTGGGCCAGAGACCTCCTGAAGTCCCTTCCAATCTAATCTCTTCAATGGTAGGTAGGAGATGCCCAGATAGTGTGGTTCAGCTGTAGCATAAATCACAGCCTGGGACTATGCTTGACTCCTTCTTCCCAGGCTGGCACGATAAGGAGACATTAAGGAGGCACCTTACTAGTCCTTCGTGGGAAGGGTGCATTTTTCCGGAGATGTTCACCGGGACTGAAGATGTGTGCCCGCCTGGTGCCAGGTGTTGGTTTTTGTAGTATTTGTATTGTGACTGGCTTCCTCTTGGGTTCCTCCAGGTACAGCTACATGATTGACAACGTCATTCTGCTGATCACTGGGACCTTGCACCAGCGTTCGATCTCCGAACTGGTGCCCAAGTGCCATCCTCTGGGAAGTTTTGAGCAGATGGAAGCCGTGAACATTGCTCAGACGCCTGCGGAGCTCTACAATGCAATCCTGGTGGACACTCCCCTGGGTGAGCGGAGCCTTTCAAAATACTTCTCAGCTGTGTGTGGAGCAGATGTCCCTTTCTCCCCAAGTCTACCTAGGTCCAACTAAGTCTAAGTTGTGCTCCAGGAAGACAAGGCAGTGGGTAATGTGCAGATGTGGCTGTACCGCCTGTGGTGGCTGGACTTGAGTTCAGGTTTATGCCTGTCCTATGCCAGTTCTTCCTCTGAGGACCAGCTAGCTCTCTCTACGCTTCAAGAAATGTCCAAACCAGCACACTGGTAGTGCAAATTGCTGGGAAATTTGGTTTGTGTGAGCCAGGCCTTGAGCTGTCATGGCAGTGCAGGTATAGCTGGATCTGATCTGCTAGAGATGTCCATTTACCAGCACTTCTGGGAATTGTCATCTGAAATTAGGGAGGAAGGAGAAAGTTTGAGCGGTCTTAGACTATGCGATCTTTTTAATAACTGTCATGGGACACATGGTACACGTGCTTCCGTAGTGAAGGGCTATCGGGTCCTCTGCTGGAATGAGTCACTTAATTTCCAGCACTTTTAGCTGGACCATTGGGCAACTTCATGTAGGCAATTTTTGTAGATAATTATAGAGATCTGCACACGCCCGATCTTGTTCTGATACTGATAAAATTAGCTCTAGATCAAGGAAAGCCCTTTACATACCAAAAAACCTCAACCAGCAACAGCAAAAAAGAAAAAAATCTCCAAAAGCCTTTTTGAGCTCATTGTGTAGCAGGATCCTGCCTCAGGGCTACAAGCCTTGACCAGGAGGCGCATGACACTAAAACCAAGTGTCTTATGAACAGTCAGACAGATAGGTTCTTTAAAGATAAATGTGTAGGAAGTGGTTCTGGAGAAAATATGGAAGTCTTTTGCAGTAGTAGGAGAGGTGGTCATAGGACACTTTCTAGGTTAGCATCTGTGGGCAAAAAAGTAATGAAGTACGCCTGAGTCAGTGATTAATCATTCTTTTGGGGTTGCTAGAAAGAACAAAACACTTTAAATCATCATATTGTCTTTGATAGAAATAGTTGGTTTTGGAACTGAAAGTGCTTTTGCAAACGCTCTGTGTAATAATGCGGCAAGTGAAGTAGTTGTCATGGAAAAATGATTTGCCAGATACAGCCCAGCAAAGGAGGGAAAACATGTCTCGAGAGATCTGGGTTGCAAGGTAGGGCAACGACGCAGCAGGAGAACTGAGGCTCTGCATGCAGCTGAGTTGAGCCCGCTGTAGGGATGATGTGTGGGAAGAAAATCCTCCTCATGAGTAAGCGGGAACCTTCCCATTTTGGCAATAAGATAGAACCAAGTATTTCAAAGATAATAGTTCTCTGAGACCTTAAAAATTCTGGCTGTGTATGGAGTGAGAATGCCCCATTACACTGGCAAGGTGGTTCTGGAGAACACGGCTGGTAGTTGAGGGTCTTTGCCTCTTGCATTCATGCACTTGTACATGAGTGAGCTTTGCCTGCTTCTGCCCTGGCTAGGCTGAGATCTTCGGACCTTTGCCCCGGCCATGCCCTTGAGGCTG